GAAGAGCACCGGGAGATACAGGGATTGAATGAAGTGTTGGACGAGAATAGTGGTGACCCGGAAGCGAAAGAGGAGACACAAGAAGTGCAGACTTTGGACACAGAGGTCGACGACAGAGACAGAGATGAGACGGAAAGACCGGAAGATATGTCGGAAGTAGAAGAGGGCGGAGAGAGTGGTGTCGGAGAAGAGGTTGACAGAGAAGACAGCGTTGATTGTGAACCGATTGCCAGCACTAGTAGTTCGGGTGATAAGAGTGTCTGCAATGAGCGCCAATTTGTGTGTTTTTGGCCCAATTGTGGCAAACGATTCGCTCGAAAAGATAATCTCAAAGAACACAAGAGTGCCGTCCATTTGAAGCTTAAGAGATTCAGATGCGATGTCGAGGGTTGTGGTCAACTATTTTTTCAGAAGTCTAATCTCAATGAACACAAACGCCTGCATTCGGGAGAAAAGCCATTCAAATGTGATTTCAGTGATTGCGGTCAATGTTTCGCACGAAAAGAGATTTTAATTCAACACAAAAATGCCGTCCATTTAAAGCTCAAGAGATTCAGATGTGATGTCGAGGGCTGTGGTCAACGGTTCACTCAGAAGTTTAATCTCAATTTACACAAACTTTCAGTTCATTTGAAGGAAAAGAGATTTAAATGCGATCACAAGGGATGTGGTCTGAGGTTTGTGAGGGCTAGAGATGTAATTCGTCACAATCGGGTCCACTCGGGAGAGAAACCATTTGTCTGCGATGTCATGGATTGCGATAAACGCTTTGTACGGAAAGAGAATTTTAAAAAACACAAAAATACGGTTCATTTGAAACTCAAACCATTTGTTTGTAATGAAGACAATTGCGGACAAAAATTTGCTGACAAATCGACATTAAATCGTCACAAACGTATTCATACGGGAGAAAAGCCATACGTTTGTGACGACAAAGATTGCGGCAAACGTTTCACTGATCCGTCAAATTATAGACGACATGAACGCAAACATTTGACGAACAAATAAATACTTTGTTAAACACTTATTACGATTATATGTTTCTATAATTTCAACAATTATTATGAATAAAAAATTTAATTTGAAATAATTTTTGTTTTAATTTAAATTATTATATTTGTTTTGTTTGAACAGTAATTAAAGTATGAATAGAGAGTATGACTTGTATTGAACTGATAATACATGACATGAACTGTAATTCAAGTTTTATATTGAAAGTCACAAAATTATCAGGGTATGTGTTATAAATTTTTGAAATCCAGAATAAATCTGTAAAGTGCATTGAAAAGTACCCAAAAATCTAGTCTAAAAGAATGATTAAAATATTTATATAATTTGAAACCTGGTATAAATTGATTGAATAACTTTTCTTATTATTTGTTACGAAAAATGTGTTTTATGGCCATGTTGAGTTTGAAGCTCAATATTTAAACTTTTACAAAAGGGTTTTAGACTGGATTTGGAGCACTTTTCAATACACTTTACAGATTTGTTCTAGGACCTATAGTTAAAAAGTTATAATTAATATTTTGAAAAAATTTATTTTAAAATATGAACTGGATGTAAATATTAAGATTTCTAAAACTTTTAATACTTTTATCAAAAAATTTCGAAAATTTTAATTATTTTTAAATTTTAATCTAATATATTATTTATTTATAACACGTCTGTATTGGAAATCAGCTTGTCCAATTAAATTATATTTAACTATATTTAAATAGATTGTACAATTATATTGTAAACCTTTTAAATGTTATATTATTTTTATTTTTATACTTAATCCAAAATTCTAAATAAAATTTAGACTGGATATTATTAATGTGCATTTTATTATGTCTATATTAATTTATTTATTTGTAATAATAAATGTCTGTATGAAATGTTTGTATTATTAATAATAAATAATAAATTATTTTTATTTTACTATAATTGTAAATTAATATTTTAATTGAAAAAATTTAATTATAATGTTAATTTAGTGTAATTTTGACATTGAAAATCAAATTATGAAATTATTGATATCAATATTCTTAAAATAAAGTAAGATTTAGACATGATTATTTTTAAATTTCTATCTAAACTTCTTAACAATAAGTTATTAATTAAAATTCATTAATATTTAAAATCGTACATGTTAGTTATACTCGAGTTTTAATGAAAACACCAAATGTTTAGCACTTTTGGGAAAAATATCATTTTAAAAATCACACACAAGAATATTCTGGGCATGTTATATATCAAATAAAACCCTAACTATTCCTCTATAATTTGGTGAGGGAATCAATTAAAAATAATACAGGGTGTTCAAATAAACGAGAATCAAAATGGTATCGTTAA